TACTCTTAGCCTGCTGAACCAAAGAAAACCTCATCAGATAAAAACATTTTTTATCAGATCAGATCATACTATATATGTCATGGATATAAACTAAAAATTAGATAATCGATCACTTACGTGCATTTTCATTGTTGTTTGCTTCTTTGTATTTTAGTTGTTTGGCTTGGATTTATTCTAGAAGTTGGCTGTGTTGGAATTCAACTGAATCTTTGATAGTTTCAACTCTCATCCAATGCACATCACATAATTAGATAGCCTAAGGATGCCATGTTTTTACTCCAAGTGGTGTGTGTAATTCAAAACTTTCAAAATTTATACTTGTAAATTCTATTTGATATGTCGAGATTTTCTAATTTATGTTTATTTTAATGGGTGTGGGTAAAATAGTTTTAACATTGCATACAACGCCAAAAATGGATTAATGAAGAAGGAAGTTTCATGAAGCTGATCCCAAATAGTTGAGATTAGATTTCGAGGACAATATTTATGGTGTCTAATTTAAGGTTGCTTTTACGGTATTTTTGAATACATTTCATCATAGATGACTTATTACTGCACTAATAGAATATCATCCTGAATATCACTTCTTATTTTCCACTTGCCACCTAGGAACAAACAGAATTTATTGCTTGCTTTAACGGAATAGATGTTAATGAACCTCAATTTTTCGACCTTTGATGGGGTGGAAAAAACAGGACACTCCGAAAAGATAACAGTACCTTTCAAAAAAGCCTAGCTCCTTTAGTGGCAAGAGAGCACAAATTATTTTATACATATTTAGGTTTATTCAAGAGTTTTGTTGTGTTTATGTTTTTACATGTGCATAAGCTCATTAGCAGCAGGGCTGCAGGTTAGAAGAACTACTATGATATCATGGTTGGTTAAGTTTTTAGAATTCAGACTGCGTCTGAAACCTGAAGACCAGTAGCCATATATGCATAACACATGCAATTATTTAAAATACAAGTACATTTGCAGATAGATGTGTCCATTTGCATGTATATAAGATTACTTTTCATATAACTATTCATGGCTTTGAGTGCACATTTACTTGCATATGAATAGAATATTTAAATTTTTATTCGTCATATTTTTATCAAACTATTTCAGAACTTGCTTTTCATGTGTCATGTGCCGTGTGTGTGTACATGTGTGTTTGCTCGTGCGCTTGGGCGTGTGTGGCATTTTGTGTATTTTCTGTGTTTAGGGTTCAGTTTTGGATTGTGTTTTTGTCAGGACAGCCGTCAGCGTCCATGTTTTTCCCTTCTAAGGTTGTATCCAAAGGCGGGTGGTGCTCCGACTATAGCTTGTACGAGATGGTGATCTCCTTCCAAGAGATCAAGTAGTGCTTCAGTTGTGTTATTTATCTCCGTCTTTTTCATCCTTAGCATTCCCACCTTTCCTTGCTGCCGAAATCACCGGACAAGAACTTTGTTGTTGTCCTCTAACCCCAACCGCCACCCAACCACCTCCACCTACCGCCATCCTTTCCAGCCACCAACCACCTTGCTGCCACCCCCCTTCTACCCCACCCACCTTCCTTGCTACCGTGAGCCTTCTTGACCCTTCCAAAACCCAGCCACCACCTCTCTGCTGCAGCCACCTCACTATACCCTACTGCTTCCCACCTTCCAGCCATTAGACAATCAACCATTGCCTTCTATTGTTGCCTTCCGACCATCGAACCCTCAATATTTGCTATTTCTTCTTAAACCGCAGCACCACCACTCATGACCTAGGCCGTAGTTGAGCTTGTGTTGTGTCTTTTGCTATTTCCTAGTTTCGACTGTCTTGGTTGTAATCTCTGTTTAGTTTCACTAGTAAAAGTTGCATTTCCATTGTCATTTGGGGTTTAACTCCGGTGTCATCAAGCTTAGTAAGTTTTATTGTTACTAGAGTAAATGGATGGAGAAGAAAAATTCCTTGTGCATTTCTACATCGATTTTTCATAACGAAGCAGCCACAAGGGCTGGTGTAGGATAAGCCATTTTGTCATTTCCTACCTTTTTTTTACGTCAAGGCTTTGGAGGGCTAAACACCCCCAAATTGTATGCTTGAACTATGTGCTGAGTTCATGCTTGGCTATTTATTTGAATTATCTTATATTCTATTGTTAGGGAAATTTTTTAAAAAAAGTCTATTATCAGTTATGAATACTATTCATTGTTCTTCTTTCATTCTTCAGGCTAAAAAACACTTGGCACTGCTTTGTCTTGGAGAAATTGGAAGAAGGAAAGATTTGAGTTTGCATACACTAATAGAAACTATAATCATAGAGTCCTTTCAGTCCCCTTTTGAAGAGATAAAGTCTGCGGCTTCTTATGCCTTAGGTAACATAGCTGTAGGAAACTTGTCAAAGTATTTACCGTTCATATTGGACCAAATTGATAACCAGCAAAAGAAGCAATACCTTTTGCTGCATTCGCTAAAGGAGGTGAGTTGTTAGATCTGTCAATCTCCTGACACTATTTATGATTTTCAACATGTCCTATTTCCTCCTCTTTGAAATATTTCAGGTCATTGCGAGGCAATCTTCAGATAAAGCTGATCAAAATGAGCTTCAGGATTCATATATTGAGAAGATATTAGCTTTGCTTTTTAATCACTGTGAGAGTGAAGAAGAAGGAGTTCGCAATGTAGTAGCTGAGTGTTTAGGCAAGATTGCACTTATTGAACCTAGAAATCTTATTCCTGCTTTAAAGGTATGATTTGGTTGTCTACATAAAGATTGCTTGATCTTCTGTAATGTGAATGTACAGTTTCCTCCTTGTATTTCTCTAGATTCGCACCACCAGTCCGACAGCTTTCACAAGAGCGACTGTTGTGATCGCAGTGAAGTATTCCATTGTTGAAAGACCGGAAAAAATTGATGAAATTTTATATCCCGAGATTTCAACATTTCTTATGCTAATTAGAGATAATGATCGGGTATGTCTCTTACCTTTCTCAAAATATTTTTGTTACGTTTTGATTGTTTTATGCTTAGAAACATTTAAAAAAGGTCACACTTAAAAATGTTTACTGCCATTTTTCTTGGTTTTGTCTACAGCATGTCAGACGTGCTGCTGTCCTGGCTTTAAGCACTGCCGCACATAACAAGCCTAATTTGATTAAGGGGCTCCTTCCTGAGATGTTACCACTTTTGTATGATCAAACTGTTATCAAGGTGTGTTCTGTAATGTCGTGCAAATGGTGTGCTTTATCTGGATTTTGTGCGGTTAGCGAAATTCCTCTTGCTTTTTTTGTTTTGCTCGGCCATAACAGGAGAGCAGTATGCACTAACTTCTTCATTTTTGTTCTTGGTTTATTGAATTACATTATTCGTCACTAAAATGCAAACATGCTTGAGATTTTAGCTTCATAAAAGGATCTCATCAACAGTTAACTTGAAGTGTTAGTTGTCTGATAGCATAATCATCCTATATTATGTTGCTTGGATAAAATGCCATCTTGAGAGCTATTAAATTAACCACTCATATTGTTTGACTGTTTTGCATGTTTATGCAGCATGCGCATCTACACTTTTTATCAGTAACTTATTTTTATCTTTGATCCTTAAATGATGTTGTAGCATTAAAGTTTTATCTTTTGTTTCAGCAAGAGTTAATAAGAACAGTGGATCTTGGTCCATTCAAGCACACTGTGGATGATGGACTTGAGATTAGAAAGGCAGCTTTTGAGTGCGTGGACACTTTACTTGATAGCTGTCTTGATCAAGTGAACCCATCTTCTTTTATAGTTCCTTATCTTATATCTGGTTTGTCTGGTGAGTTTATAATATCTGTTACATACGTTTTGCTGCGCATTCCATTGTTGTTTTTCATCTAGACCAATTATTTTTCTATCTGTGAATGAAAACTTACTCTTTTTCTTATTCATAATTGAAAATGTATGTTACATATTTATGCATATTCCTAACTCTCTAGATTAGGAATAACTCTAATATAGAAAAGATCCTAATTAGATCTTCTTTAATTAGGTTGCCTAATATCAAATTTTCTAATATAAGTTTAGATTTATTATTTTCTATAAGACTTCCTCTCAAGCTGGATCATACATATTTATTATGCATAGCACGATACAAATATAAGTGATCCTAGCTCCATTAAGGGCTTTTGTGAAGATATCCTTTAGTTGTTCCCCAATCTTCACATGAGCTATAAAAATTAAATTATGTTGAATCTTTGACAAATAAAATGATAATCTATTTCAATGTGCTTAGATCGTTCATGAAAGATAAGATTTGATGCAATATGAAGTGCAACTTGGTTATCTTTAAACCACAACTTTTATGGAATTGTCATCTTTAAAACCATTTCTATCAAGAGTTGGGAATTCACGTTAATTCACACTAGGCTTGCGGCATCGATCGATACTCAGATTCAAAATTGGATTGTGACACTATATTCTGTTTCTTACTCTTTCATGAGACCGAATTACCGCTAACAAAGACGCACTATCCAATGGTAGATCTTCAATCAATCTTGGAACTTACTCAATCTACTTCAGAGAAATATTTAATATTTTATGCCCATGATCTTGATATAAAATACCTTGTCTAAGAGCTCTCTTGAGGTAACATGGTATTTGTTCTAAAGCTAACCAATGATGGACTATTAAGGGAAGTAATAAATTGACTTATAGTGCTAACTGAATATGCAGTATTAGATTGAGATCATCAACATAAACCATCAATAAAATGATTCCTTAAGCAGATTGCTTATAGAGTACAGTTTGATCATTTTTACTTTTCTACATTTGCTGCTTGGCTAAAATTTCCAAATCATGCTTGAGAAAGCTTTGCTTCAAGTCATGTAAAGACTTCCGAAGACGACATGCTTTTCTAGACTCCTCCTGAGCAACAAACACAGGAGGTTGTTTCATGTGTACTTCTTCTAGAAGATCATCATGCAAAAAAATATTCTTCACATTCAATTGGTGTAGGGGCTAATTATTCATTGCAGTCAATGACATGTGTAGACGAACTGAAATCAACTTAGCTACCTGAGAGAATGTGACCAAGTAATTGATTCTATAAGTTTAAAGCACAACCCTTAACCACCAATTGAACTTTGAGATGAGCTATAGATTCGTGAGAATGAAACTTAACTGCAAAGAACCACTCACATCCAACAACCTTCTTGCCAGAGGTAGTTCAACTAGTTCCCAAGTTTTATTTTCATTTAAAACATTCATCTCATCAAACATCGCTGCCCTCCACCTGGCATAAGATAGGGCTTTTTGAACAGATCTTAGAAACTCAACATAATCAAAAGAAGCAACAAAGGAGCACGAAGTGGAAGATAATTGATTATTGTTAACACAAAAGGAGATGGGATAAGCGCATTAACGTTCACCTCATCGAGGAGCAATAGGTAAGTCGATATTACTTGGAGGAGGATCCACTGAGGAAAATGACACTGGATTAGGATCTAGGGAACGAGGTGTTCTCTAGTAAATATTAGTAATAGGTGGTCTAGGCTGGGCACTGGAGGTGGAGGTGGTGCAGGACTGAACTTATGATGTGATACATCAACAATTCATCAGAATCTTGTGTGGATTTAGGCACTGATGACTCACCAAAGAATAGGGTTTGTTCATAAAAGGTCACATCAATAGAAATCATATACCTATTTAAGAGGAAAAAAAACACTGATACCCTTTTTGCAGGTGAGAATATTCTAGAAAGATACACCTTAATGACTTAGGGTCTAGTTTAGACATTTGTGGATGAGTATTATGAACAAAACATGTACATCCAAATATGCATGGTTCAATAGGAAAGAGAGTTAGTTGGAAATAAAATTTGGTAGAGGTTGCATCATCGCAAAAATATTTAGGCACATTCGTTTGAAACAAAAGAGCTTTAATCGTCTCAAAAAGATGTCTATTTTTTTTCAGGCATTAGTTGGGACGGGTTATTAACACAAGATGTCATATACGTCTGGAGGAATGCGAAAAAATATACTTTGACATTGTCACCACCCAGAATCTTAATCGAAACGTTGAATTGAGTTTTAATTTTGGCATAAAAGGATTGAAAATGTGACAGTAAATCTGTACAAGATTTCATAAAGTCCCAAACATCCACCAAATTGACAAAATATCGAAATTCTTGAGATAAATTAGGACAAGATCCCCAAAAATCAAAATGAATCACTTGAAATTATGATCGACTCTTTTATTAATTCTGAGAACATAATACGAATGATGGTGTTTAGCAAATTGACATGATTCATAATTTAAAGATGATAAATGTTGAATTTGAGGGAGCAACTTTTTTAACATTGATAGTGATGGTTGTTCTAATCGACAGTGGATTTTAAATGGTGATAAGGTGCTGGAACTACCTATGAGTTGAGGTACCTCATTGTCCAAACTGTATGATCCCCTCGATTCTCATCCTTTGCCAATAATTCTCTTCATCATAAGATTTTGAAATGCACAATGGTCAATAAAGAATAAAATTTAACAATTAAGAATGTGTAATTTCATTAACAAAAATAAGATTAAAAATAAGTTGAGGTAAATTGAGGACAAAAAATAGAGGTAATGTGGGGGTAACATTGATGGAGCCAGAACCTCAAGGACTTCCAAGATAGATCCATCTATTAAAGTGACGATGGAAAGACACTTATAAAGGATAGAGAGAGTTTTGAATTACCTGTCATGTGATCTGTAGCATCAGAATTACTGGCCTACTGTATGGAAAGGAAAGAAGACAAGTATCATTATTACCTGACTCAGCAAGGGCAGAGTGATAGAGGGGGGGTTTTTTATTTCCTAAATTTGATGAACTTAGCATATTTATCTGCCAAGATCGAGAGAGTTTGACTTGCTAGTTGTGACCATGTGAGTTGGTTGTGATATAGAACTCTTATGGTTCTTTTTTCTCAACTTCTGACTTGTCATCTTCGTATGACCAGATTCATGATTGACACACTACCTTCGACCATTGATTTTCATAATTCAGAGTTCTATTTTTGTAACTATCCTAAGACTAAGGTTTACTGATGTTTGTATTTTTCTAGCTAGCACGAGCATTAGGTTGTTGTGCGAAATGAGGCTTGAGAACTCGAAATCGTACGCAATACTCTGTTGTAGGATTCCCTTAGCGTAGTACATCCAGGATTTGATAAGATCTATGATTTGACGCCTTCGTACTGAGAGTTGAGGCCAACTAGAAAACTTATACTAGTCATTTATTCTCTTTGAATCTACTGAATCTAAACATCAATACTGAATGACAATAAGTCATTTACTTCTTCATAAACACGTTTAAAGTGCATGTGATAAGTGTTCAATGATTGATTATTTTCTTCAGCTCTATAGAACTCTCCACATATATAATAAAAGCGAGAAATATTTTCTATCTTAGAAAACAAAAATCACAATTTCTCCATCGCATCTTTAACACAATCACATTGAGTGATATGACCAGATTGATCTGGTTCCATGCTTTTGTGTTTGTATCAAAAGTTGGACGTCAACCCTCATCCACTCAGAATAATTAGGATCAGTCTGAGTTGAGGGATTATCAATGAGGTGACTCTCTTGAGAGATATTCTTAGGTAGAGTCTCACTGTTTTCATTTATCTTTTCTTTCATAATTTTAGCCACTGATGAAATCAAATCGTCACAAGGAGTTTTTATTCACCGACCATAAATGATGTCATTTAGTGCTGAAGGACGAGCCAAAGTTGCAGTCAAAGCACGAGGAGATAAATAACTCGTTCACGAACAATCCAACAACTGTCGAGATGGAAAAAAAAACAATTGAATCGGCTGAGCGAAAGAAATTGGACGAAGTAGCCGAACGTAGCAGCCGACCAAACTGATCTAAGTAGACGACTAAGGTCAAAGCAGACAGATTGGATCAAAGCATATTAGAGTTGGTCGATGCCCTAATCCCCTTGAAGCAGAGCAATGCAGACGGACATCGGATGATGACAGAAAACAAAGACGAAGACGAAGCAAAGATGAAGCGTAAGTGATGTCACCTTCGATGGCACCGGACAAACACACAACGCAGAATGATGCAAATTAAGTCGAATACACCTTCGGCGGCGCCTTCGACATAGAGTGATGTCACCTTCGACAACACCAAACAAAGATGAAGCTGACTATACCTCTGACATTGAGTGGTGTATACGACGTCGATGTTTAGAGATCTAGATGGCCCGAACAAAACCAAAGACGAATGAAGCTAGCGTTGAACAAGACCGATGAAGATGGGAACTATTTGACAAGGTTTGGATACCATGTGAATGAAAACTTCCTCTTTTTTGTATTCATAATTGAAAATATATATTACATATTTATACACATTCCCAAATATCTAGATTAGTAATAATTCTAATATAGAAAATATCCTAATTAGATCTCTTCTAATTAGATTTCCTAATATGCAAGCTTCTTAATATTGAAGGTTCAGATTTAATACTTTCCATAAGACTATCCAATTTCAAAATTCTTTCCAACAAGATCTGTCACGTTTAGGTATGACTTTGCCTCCTTTGTAATCACGCCTTTCCCTTGCACGAAAGACCTTTTTTTTTTAAGGAATTTTTGCAGCTTTGATGATATAATGCACTACTTAATTCTACCTTTTGATTTATTGTGTGCAAGCTGTATTTTAGAATTTTTTTCCCATGCTTATCAAATTTCAAGAAATCTCTTTTTAGATCTTACTTTTTGACGATATCGCTTATGCTGCTTTCAGATCACTATGATGTCAAGATGCCTTGTCATCTCATTTTATCAAAACTTGCAGATAAGTGTCCTGCTGCTGTCTTGGCAGGTTTGTGTCTTGAATTTGCAAAACTTGACCACTCAGTTTTGGTGTGCAAGTAATAATTTATGTTTTCCCTGACAAAATGACGACTTTCATTATTTGGCAGTTTTGGATTCATTGGTAGAACCACTTGAAAAGACAATTAACCACAAACCCAAGCTTGATGCTGTGAAGCAAGAGGTCGATCGGAATGAAGATATGATCAGAAGTGCTCTTAGAGGCATTGCATCCTTGAACCGGATAAGGTTATTATACATTTCTGTTGTTTTTTATTACTAATTAGCCTCATCAAAAGATGCTGGTCTTCGAAGGAACTAGTTTCTCTTCACGGCTAAGCGGTTTTGACTTCATCTTTGTCTTGTGCATGGTTAAATCTGGCTAATTCTGAGTCTTTGCTCATCCTTTTGGAATAAAGCTTGCTTTGTTTCAATCCGTTCAAAAATATATTTGCAGTATGAGTGCCTACAGGACAGTTTTTATTGGATTAAGATGCATTGGATCAATCTGTCTTTTGGTAGTTTCATAATTTTATGGGTTCATCTGGAGATTCATTGGCGTTTTCATAAGTGTTTCGCTAAAAGAGCACATGATATGTTCTTTCATAGGTTGAAGTTCATGCAGGCTTGATTAAGGACTGTTGCAAGCTATTGGATGAACGCTTTGTTAATGCGTCTGTTTCTAGAATATAACAATTTGTAGTTGACACAGTTCATTGAACATTGTGCAACTACTTTAAGTTAGTTGAAAACATTGCCTTCTTTGGGAACTCAATGTGTGATAGATTTTACTTCATCCATCCATCCATCCATCCATCCATCCATCCATCCATCCATCCATCCCTTAAACTTAGGGTCTGTTTGGCGCAGCTGCAGATTCTCAGCTTTTCAGCTGCAGCTACGCTGCCCCCGGAAGCAGCTGTGGGAAAGTTGA